CGAGTTTTTATGAATACGAGAAGGAAAAAAGAATGGCATTTGCTATATATAATGTCTAAGCATCATAGTGAATTAATACCTTGTAACAATTCTGCGCAGAAACTTTGACAGAGTTCTTTATTTGATCTTTCACATATGTAAGATAGGGTGCTGGAGGGGCGACGATAACATCGACATCGGAAACTCCTAAAATGCAATAGAATTATCTCTCCTGCTGGGACATCAACTTCGTTAGATTTGCTTAGCGCATAACTAATGCAAACCCCAATTGATTGTCCCTGAAATCTTACTTGACTAATTGTTCATATATACAGAAGCACTTAGAAGATTCCTAGCCATACTTTCGCATGTAGAGAATGGTCTAGAACCTATGACAGAATGTAGCTGATACCATTTCACATGGATAAAAGGCAAACGCGAAAAGTGGATTAAATCAAGAGCGCATTTTTGAAGGTTAAGAAAGGATTTCAAAGAGATGGCCGTCGCAATCGGTTTCTCCTTACATTTTAACCTTTAATCTCAACCTTCTTTGCTGTGCTTAGATTTGAAGTCTTTCATGTGTGTTTATGGGCGTTCCAACACGTAAGATCATTTTCGTTAAACCTTTTGTATTTTCTCGTTTTCCCTATATTGATTGGTAATGTACGTGAGCTCAAGAAACTATAAACTGTGATCTAATCAGATACCTCAATACGAACTCGATGGCTCACTTCTGGGCATTACATGCTCTAGTAGCTAAAAGACCTTTTTTTTTTGGTAGAACTACCACAACACTCTAGTAAAAGGACAAAATTACTAATTTAAGGGACATAGCGATTTACCGAATATCTCCATTGTATACCCTTATTCGCTAGAAAGCTTTCCAACCCCATAACACATGGATATCTTGATTTGAGTAACTATGAGTAAGAAAAGTTGAAGCAAAGTAGCTAAGCTTCCACCTGCACTTTGGTTGAGGAACATACAGATCCCGTCAATTGACTTCTTGTCTCCATTCATCTTCCAGTTTCCACCGACGAAGAACTTGCGCGTCATGTTCTAAAATGAAATTAAACCATACTCATTCAATAGTTTGCAAGTGAGCATGTCAATATAATAATCTACACGTCAACACTAAACTAGTTTTCTTCCCAAATTCCAGTTCTCTTAATCTGCTATGAATGAAGTGCCAGTACATAAACAAGTGTAAGAATGCGATGTGAGAGAACGCATAACGATGGAAGCTAGAGCAGGAAATTGAATTCATAGAAGTGAATGCAAGGGAAAATAAAGGTCTGCTAGCGCTGAAAATGAGACACTTGATAAAAATTCCTAGAAACCCGGTGCCAGGCTTCGAACCATTTGACAGAATCTTTCAAAAGTGTCTGAAGTATAAATAATGACAAGTACTGTGAGTCTTTTCAAATCTTCGTTCCCAAATCTTAAAAACTAAAAGAAATTGAGCAAATTTAAAGAAATATTAGGTGCTAAAACAAACGCGCTTTTTGCATCCCACAAAAGCAATGCGTAAACTAAATAACACATAGTTCATTGAAAACTACGTGCTTATCACGAGCTTATTAATTGTTTTCCAAAAAACAAACACATATCTTTGAATTGCAGGTCCTGTTTCAATATCAATCTGGTTAACATAACGTATTATTACATCATATTTCTACTCCTTCCTTTTTTTCGGAATAAAGGCGCATAAAATCGAGAAATTCGAGATAGGTAAAATTCATTACTAGTACAACTACATGCATATGAATTGAAAAGGAAAAAGTGATGCCTGCTGGATCATACCGAGAACGTTCTCGCGATGAGACGACAAAACATTGACGCCATGATCGATCTGGTTTGTTTTGCCCTGTGCTGCTTTACTTTACAAATCTGTCGTCTCTTATCTATTACGTACTTCCATTCATAGGAAAAAAAAAGCTTTTTTACGAGCATACCGAGATCACAGCAAGCTAATGGGCATAATCAGAATTTGATAACAAAGATACAAAATATTATGGTTATGGCATTTCATTAAGTTTAGTCGAGAAAAAACATAACTACCGTAGAATCTTCCCCTGCATCAAGTCTTGCAAAGTCAGACACGAGGTTTCCCAATGGAGGCATTGCAAAACGAAGTCCGACTCAGAAATTAGGAATTGTCGATGTCTCTTTGAAACTTGTAAAAACGTGCATAGCTAACTAACCATTGCAGTATGTTCAGCCATCCCTTATATACCTATCGCTACAAATCACTCGTAAAAAATGTTTTGGGTGCACTACAGCGTATTTTACGCATTAAATTACAATATTTTTAGAAATTTGTGTGTGAAAACCGCTGTAGTGCAGCAAAATCCCTTTTCTGTCCAACATCTATAAGTTCAAATGACATTCTAAAGAAGTACTACTACTTCCACGTGAAGTAGTAGTACTTCTTTAGAATGTCATTTAAATTCTTTGTGAATTCATAGTGAATGCTTTTGGTAGCGTTACTGATGAAAGAGTACTATTTAGAACATCTTTTAC